GGTGGCGGCGGCTGTCCCTGGTGCAAAGCTGGGGTGGGGGGAGTGGGAGAGGGAGGGGGGGAAGTGTGTTTGCTCAATGCAAAGTGCAGCCCGAGGCCAGGGGATGGGCCACAATGGGGCTTGAGACCATCCTTGAGACACCAGGCTGTGGCACTTCAGCAGCCATCTATGGCAGGATAGTGTGCTGGAGAGGGGGGGGGTGGAGGCCAGGGCTGTCCCCACAGTGGCCGCGGAGCATGGCCTGGAGAGCAACTGGAACCTCTTGGAGATGCCACAGGGTCATTGCTGTCACTGCTGTCCCCGTGTCCTGGTGTCCCTGCATGGCCTGTCCCTTCCCCGCTCACTTCCCGGGTAAGGGTCAGTGCCACACGTCGATAATGAGGATGTGAATAATGAGGATGGGAGCACCCCGGTCACTCAGGGGTCACATCCTCTTACATCCAGCCTTCTGTCCCCCCAGGAGATGCAGGTGTGCTCCTGCTGCCCGCTCGCTGCCCAAGGCTGGTGAGTAGGGGACAAAGGGGACAATCGATGACATCCTGGAAGGGCAGCAAGCAAGGGAGCCCCCAGCCCCCCGTGCTCTGGGCAGTTTTGATAAGACACTGCTGAAGTGTAAAGATTTGGCTAAAGCCAGGCTCTTGTGAGCTGGTGCAAGTGGTGTCAGAGTGGGTTTGGCTCTTTCCAAAAGCTGATGGTTCTTCACAGCTCTGCAGGAGGGTGGGGGATCAGGTCTCAAATCTGGTGCTGGGTGTCTGTGCATGGATTTGCCCAAATAACGTGTTTTTTCCGTTGGTCCTGGTGTCCCACCCGGCCTCAGCATCTCCCTGGCCCCAGACGCAGGAGGGCAAGGAGTCATTCAGCTTTTCAGAAGAGGAAAATGAACAAAAAAAAACCTTGCAGTTTTGGTTTCTCTCGTTAGAGGGCAGCAACAGACCCAACTGGGGCCAAGAGCAGAGCCCAAGAAAGCAGAGATCATCAGGGAGCTCATCCCAAAGGCTTGGCGGGAGCAGGGCAAGGGCTACAGCACCCACTTGGACTCCATCGCCGCATGTCACCCAGTAAGGTTAATATCTATGTTTTCTCCCCCCAACCCCCTTTTTATTCTTCTCATTGGGCTATAGATAAATAAAACCCCAGGTTGACATTCTCAGGAGAATTCAGGACAGCTCTCAAAGGGTCCCTGGGTTACAGATGGAAGGAAGCTGCTTTAGAGAATGTAGAAACGGGGCAACATTCGCATCTGGAGCAGTGAACAGCACCATCCAACACACTGGGAACAAAACGAGACCCACTCATTTATTGTCAAAAAACCTCAAACTTTACTTGTGTTTCTCTCAATAAATAATTTACAGTATATACATGTGGTGACACTCCCGTGGGTCTCAACACCGGGAGGAGGTGGGGGGGCCCTACACGTAATGCCCCCCCCCGCCTTTGCCTACGTATTTCTTTTGTTTCCAAGTATTGGGTCTTTCTTGGCCACACTTCACCTTTAACCAGAACTGGGTCAAACACAACCAAAATAAAGTGCTTCACTGTTTGCTTCTAAAATAGGGATACCCCAGCCACCGTGCGACAGCCGGCCACCACTGGAGCGCTCACCTGGACAGCAGGACTGAGCCACGCCATAACCAAACAGACTTTCCTGGACTGGATACTACCCCAAAACTACAGCACATCGTGCCGTAGGGTGATTGCTGCATAGGAAAGGTAGGTATTAAGGTAAGTATTGACTTGTTGGCCCACTGTAGCTTGGCCAGAAAGATGGCTTTCAAGAAGCTCCGTGTCTTCCGACAGATGCTTTGCACAGCCGCTGTTAATCTAGGGGGTAACATAGCAAAAAAGAAAAAAGAGTTTCCTCTTAGCTAATGACAAATTTTGACTTTCAAAACTTGTGTTTTGAATTTCTAGGGAAGACAAAAACTTGGTTCTTTCTTTAACTAAAGAAACAAAAAGTCCAAATCAGCCTGGCTGAGCAATTAGTTCATTGGGAAGCTAAACTGTCCTGTGTCACGGTCCAGTGGTTGCTCTTCTCAGCACCTCCAGGCTGTGATATCCCTATTTTAAAATTTCCCTAAACAGAATACCTGGGGCACCAGCAAACAAAGCAAGGAGCAAAGTAGTAAACACATCTTTTTTGTTTCTTTTCTTTCCTTAAACATTTAAAAACCAATTACATCTCTTCATCTGTACAAGTCACACGAGATCAATGCCAGGGCTCTATATATTAAAGAGACAATATAAATTACATCCATTGACACAATTTTGCATTTCTCTGCTGCTTTACAAGTGGAGCTCTAGAGCTGTTAGGACACAATGAATAGTCACGTTGAGTATTTACACCAGGCTGCCTCTTGGCACCAGTTCAGACTGCCAAACATAGCCTGTTCCCACCTCTTTCGGTGCTTGCTTGTCTCATCACGCCCAGAGACCTCCCTTGAGAGCGGGAGGTGCCCCCAAGAGTGACACATGTTTTGGGGCTGGTTTCTGGGAACTTCCTCCTGAGGAAAGGAGGGGAAACCTATCAAGAGGTCTCCAAGATGCAGACCAAAGGTGGTCTTGCTGTTTGTTCAGTGAGCAATGAGGTGAACCACAGAGGAACATGGAGGGGAGGAGGTGGGCAGCACTATGTGGGGGGAAGGAGATTATCCATGGTTTCAAGGCAGGAAACAGATGTTTAGGGGCAGTCAGGGTCCTCTGCTGCATCCTGTCTCCTGGCTGTATTTCTAACATTGCCCCATTTCCGACTCAAGCCTAGAAGGGCTTAAGGTGCAACTGGTCTGCAATGGGGTTGCAAGTCACGGCCCCGGGACGAGGAGCAGAGCAGAGACCTAGCAGCAAACAAACAGAGCATGACGCTCCTGCTCCATCCCAGGGCCTGGCCGAGCGGTGGGCAGGCGCGCGGGTGCAGGGCTGGAGGGAGGTGTGGATTGCGTCTCCCACTGAGCAGTCTCCCTGCTGCCAGTTTTAGGAGACCGGGCAGCAAACGGTGCGAGGAACTCATCCAACGCCGGGCAGAAGTTACAGAAACCACTTGAATACTGGCCAGGTTTCTCCCGTTGCCATCAAGAGTCCTCGGTGGGTCCAGGCAGAGACAAGGGAGCCAGGAACAAAACCACTGAGTGAATCAGCCAAATGGACTGGCTAAAATAGGAGATGCCCTTCGAACCACAGCAAACGCAAGCTGAGGCTTGAGTAACGTGTCCCCCTTCCACCCAGAAGATGCCTGGCACTGGTGGCTGGGCCAGCGCAGGACCATTCCTTGCTATTTCAGCCCTTTGCACTACTTTCTGCAATGCTGGGGCTGCAGGGAGAGTGGGACATGCCCAAAAAGTGGAGCCTGGCCCCATCTTGCTGCTCTACACCCTCCTCATGGGCGTCGCTGCACAAAGACGAAGCCATGTTCATGCACACCAATGTCACAGTCACCATGTGCATTTTCAGGAACTGGGGAGCACTAAAAGAAGGTGGGGGCTCCTCTTCACTCACTCTACTGAGAGGAAGAGGAGGATGGAGGGAGGTGAGGAAGGTCCAGACAAGATACAGTCCAGCAAAAACTCCCAACCGGTCCCATTGGCAGCACATTCCTCCCACAAGAGCTGGGAAGGTGGAGGACCTGGTGCTGATGAGAGGGGATGAGATCTGATGACATCCCCTGCCACTCTGATATCCAACCTCCCACTGTCCAGCGCTGCCAGCTCATCCATGGTCCTCTCCTGCTCCTCTTTCCCCGCTCTCCAGGGTGTGATGGCGCAAACCTCTACAACAAGCCCAGCCAACACTGACTCAAACACAGCAGCGCTACCCAGAGAGCCGGGGGTGTCCCCGAAGGAGCCGTGTTGCCCGGGGCCAGGTCCCGTGTCCTTTCATAGAGGTGCAGCTTGTCTTTGTTGGAGTGAAGCATCTTCACATCCTCAAAGGCGTAGTAAGCAGCCAGCATGAAGTTGACATCCCCCGTGGTGAGGAGGTCGAAGACGCAGGACTGGAAATAGAGGTCCTCCACGGGCAGCTTTTCCCTGCACTTGGCTGTGGCTGTTTCATACGTGAAGGCCTCAGGGGGGGCTGGAAGGCTGGGCCCCTTCCTACGAGCACGGCCCTCTGTGGCCTGAGCCGAGCGGATGGTCTGGAAGTCAATCTGTTGGTTGAGCGGACAACCGCGGAGACACAGGTAGAGGCCCTGACTGTCCCGGTCCTCCACAGCATTGACCACCTCCTCTGGCATGCGCACAGCAAAGGTGAGGTACCGGCCCACCTGCCTCACCACGATGGTGGTGCCAATGTACTTTGCCTGGATCTCGATGTGTTGGCCCGACACCTTCTCGGTGATCTTCAGGCTGTTGGCTCCATGCTTGTCCCCACCGTTCTTGGAGCCATCAGCAAAAGCAGCGGGGAGCTCGTCCATCTCTGCCTGGTACACTTTCTGGTCCACACACTCCTGGAAGCTCTTGAAGATGATGGTGAGCTGTGGTGGAGGAAAGAAAGGAACAGGGTTACAACCAGCGATGACCACCTGAGAGCACACAGCCATCACCTGGAGTGGCATGGGAGGTGGAGGAGCTGTGTGCTCAGCCCCATCAGGAGCCTGGCTTTCACCTCATGGGCAGGTGTGTCGTCCTAAGAAGCTGCCCCAACTTTTAGGCACCCAGACACGGCCATCCTGCTTCAGCACAGGGATGAGGACACTGCGTATGGAGTCAAGACCCAGAGGCTGGACTGAACGTACCATCTGGATCTGTGCTGTTATCTCCAGGCTCAACACTGGAGCTCCCTTGTAGCTGGAGCTGGGTGGAGTATCACTACTTGCAGGCCTGTGGCAGCATGCCCGTGCATGCAGCACTGTCTTGCCTCCAGGGCCTGGCAGATCACAGAGGTGGGTGAGCCCTGACTCTCTTAGAGGTGGTGGAGCTTCTCCTCTGGCTCCCATGGCATTTACATCCCAAGGGCTGGCCCTCTTCCTTTCCCTGGCCACTCGCAGGCCAACAGAGTCTTCTCCTCTGGACACCAGAACACATTGTGCTCCATCTCACCATGCAGACACACGTGTTCGAGTGGGCAGACCCTTCCAGGGGTGACATGGGTGTAGACTGAGCCCAACATGGCTCCCCACTCTTGACTGGGCCCAAACATGGGTCCCTTGCTGGAGGAAGGACCTCACAGCTGAGCTGGCTTTGGGAGCAAGGCCTGAGCAGGAAGAGTAAAGTTTGCATGGGAGGAAGAGTAACTTGCTCTTCTTCCCACACAAACTACGCTTCCTCTTTCACCTCTTGCAGACTTGCTCTTCCTCTTGCACCTCTTTCCACATGAGAGGAGTAGTAAGGGGGACCTCCCACCACGTGGCCCCCACGAAGGGGCAGACTGAGACCTGGCCAGAGCAAGGCAGGGCTGGAGGAAAGACCAAGGACTGAGTATGAAGGGAAAAACTGAGACTTTGCAAGGAGTGGGCTGAGCACGGTGGTGCCTCCCAGCACCTGTGCTCCCAGTGGTGCTGGCAAGGAGCCCAGAGCTGTCCAGAGCCCTGGCAATGACCTTCTCTCCCACCCACTCCTCCACTGAGTGCCCAGATGCTCCCAGCTATGAGAACATCATGCAAAAATACAAAAAGCCCCATGGACTGGGCTCCCATCCTTTCCAACAGCACATGGTCCTCTAGCGATGACCCAGTAATGCTTTCCACAGCTCACGCTGCAGATCTCATGACTAATCCGTGCTCACCACAAGCCCGTGAGGCAGATAACGGGTGAAAAGGCTCAATTAAAATAGTGATTCTGGAATCCAGCCTAGAAACTGCAGGTCCCCGAGGTCCTGAAGGACCACTTTCCCCAAGCTACACTTTCTTGCAAGCTTCAGCATTTTTGATGTTTTTTGGTAGGTAAGGAATTGAGAGCATCATTAAGTATCTGCTTAGGGACAGGTCAAAACCAAAGTGCCAGCTCCAACTCAGGCTAAAAAGGTCACATTCAAACCTGAGAAGCAGTTCCTGTCCTACATGTGCTGCTCTCCTCTCCACACACATAGGGAGAAGCGGAACTCCCACACACTCCCACAGGAAATCTCCCAAAAGCAAGAGGATGCCTCCTGCTGAGCTTCCCTTTTTTTGGCACAAAAAGTGGCCTGTTAGCTTTAGAGCTTGTGTACCATGGAGCAACGTAACAGCTCATCAGCTCCAGGTCTCTTCTGAAGCTGAAGCTGTGCCACCCAAGTCCTGCTGTATTGCAGCAGCACATTTTCATCTGAGTTTTCTTAGTGTTTGCCTTGTACCTTTAGGATGTTTGTTTAGGCTGTCAAAGCACCTCCAGAACAGACCATGCCCCACACAGTGCCTTGACTTGGCTACAAACCACAAAGACAATTATGAGCCTGGACAGAGGGAAAGGCAGTGTGAGGAGCTCAGCTCCTTCCAGGCTTTTCCCTGCAAGCCAGAACCTCCCTGGAGACCAGTTCTGGGTTTGCTCTGACCTTGGGTGTCCCCCAAAAGGTGCCACCATCATTCTTGGTCTGGCAGTTCACAACAACCTGGAGTCCCACAGGTGGGAGCACTCTTAATTTGCAGTCCCCCACTTTAACCATGATGGCCCTCAGCTGCAGCATCTCAGCTTGCTAACCTTGATGGGGTTGGATGTGCTCAGGAAGAAACCACAGGCTTCTGTGAAGGTAAGGACAAAGGAAGGATGGGTGTCTGATATTTAGGGCCAAATGGTCCAATTCAGAGGAGATCCCACCTGGTCTTACCCTCCCCAAGGAGATGTGCAAATGGTGGAGGAGAGAGATGGTGGAAAGAAAGGCTGTTCAGAAGCACCTCTGCTCATGAGGACATGCTCATATCTCACCTTGCTGGTGGCGGTGGCCGCGGAGCCAGGCAGCACCGGCGTGTTGGTGACCTGGACGTTCAGGTAATTATTGTCTATGAGCGGCCAAGCCCCTTGCACTTTGCAGGTTTGGAAAGTGTCTGTGAAAGTCCTGAGGTGGGGGTCCCCGAAGAGCCCGCAGTGGGTATAGTTGGGGGCAGCTGAGTGTTTGTGAAAGCTCTTCTCGTAGTGGCAGATTTCGGGGCTGTCGGAACGCTCCTGGCTATCCCCGGGGGGGAATGTCCGAAGGCGGGGCTGGGATGTGGGGCCATCCTTGGAGCAGTTGTGTTGGTCCATGAGATCATCTATGCCATGCACGGCGGAGTGGTAGGCCAGGTCTCCCCTGCAGGTGCGGGCGGTGCGGCGGGTGCAGTGCGCGTAGGCGCGCAGGGCTGTGCAAAATTCAGGCGCTTCTTCTGTGCCCAGATGGTGGGAGCCTGATGTGGCCGCCCAGAACTCAGAGTTGCACTTGAGGATCTTGCATGGAGATGTCACTGCGGGAGGGGAGGAAAACACAAGATGGTCAATGCTTGCATGCCTGGGTGTGGGACACCCAACTCTACTCCCAGGAAGAGGCTGCCCAGAGAAGCTGTGGATGCCCCATCCCTGGAGGGGTTCAAGGCCAGGCTGGATGAGGCTTTGAGCAACCTGGGCTAGTGGGAGGTGTCCCTGCCCATGGCAGGGGGGTTGGAACTAGATGATCTTTAAGGTCCCTTCCAACCCAAGCCATTTTCTGATTATATGATTCTCTGAAGAGGCTGGTGTCCTCCTCCTGCAGCCCAAACCCATGACATTGGCTCTACCGCGTGACGGGGCCTTGCTCACCAGACGTGACCCTCTCACATGACCCCACTTTCATGCATCAAAGCCAAAGAAACCAACAGGATCTGCCCCAATTAAAGCCAAGA